TATCCTGTCCAAAAAATGTGCCTTATCTTGCTCTGTAATCTGCAGTCTATTTTTGGAGGAGAAAATCGAAGTCGATTTTAGGGGATGAGAAATCAAGCAAGAAAATTGAGGAACTTGAAGCCTCCTTAAAGAGTGCCTTGCAAAAATGTGCTGCGGAAAGAAAAGGTCGAATTAGGGCTCAACAGGTTATTTTGATACCTTTCCTATTTTTTTTTTACTGTTTACATTCCTTTTTTTTTTTAATAATTTATGGATAATTGTTTACACGTTACACTCTCTCAAGAGCCGCTAGTTTTTTTTGTCCCTTTTTTATTTTTCTTTTAGTTAGTTTTTTTCTAATTTCTTAATCCATTTCAGCATTTGGTATGTCTTGCAAATGTAGAGTGCAGTTCATTTTGTTGATAGCTAGAGCACAATTATGTTTTTAGTCCCATTTATGTAGTCTTACTTTCAATCTGAATGTAATTAGATATGGGATTTGTGTTGTTCAGACGCGAGTGGATATAGATTTATCCAGTTTTGATATATTTTTTTAATTAGGTTAATTTTGAAAAAGTTAGTTTGATAAATACTAGTGGGATTATAACTTTGTATTAAAATTATATTGAATGTAACATGATTAATGTTGATTTTATGTAAAAGTAGAAGACATGTAATTAGAAGTGGTATGCAATTCAAATTATGTGAGCAGATGATTTGTGAATTGAAGTTGATGTGATGTGTAAGGATGACTGATTGATATTATTTATATATATTGATAACATTGACGATAGTGGAATTGAGTTAAAGTTGTGTTAGATTTTGAGTTGCGATTAGATTTGAGCATGGATATATCTATATCGACTCACACCCTCCCATGTTAATGATGTAAAATATTATGAAAATATTGTTTGACGTTTAAAGTATATGTCTTGTTGAAGGCTTTGAGGGAATCACTGAGAAAGCCCGATAGTGATAAGGTTGAATCATGTTCATATCCCATGGCACCTATTGCTGTCGTTCGCTCATGTTTTTCGACACGGTAATCTCACAATTTAGTCCAGTCCCCATTTTGCAACATTTTCTTGCTTTTGGCGAAATAAAATGGTTGTCGTAAATCGTCGACTAATTCCTATACATGTCTGGAAATTTGTATTTGTGTCAGGAATGGAACTCCAAGACAGCCTTTGCTTGTACCCTTAGCAAAAGCATCCTTGTTTTTTGATTCTGCTCGTGTCCCTCAAGCATCTCTTGAAGGCCTAGAAGAGTATTCACACTGCTGGATTCTATATGTTTTCCATTTGAATACGGATCTTGAAAAGTTATGGAAACACCCATCACAATCTAAATTTAAGGCAAAGGTTTGTGCTCTTTGTATTTTTTTAACTTTATTTTATGTTTTTCTTCCTCTTTCTCTTTAAATATATGGTTCCTAGAGAGTTCTTTAAGATGGTTGGTTGAGTGCATGGGTAGGTAAGGGTACCAAGACTCAAAGGTGAAAGAGTTGGAGTCTTTGCTACAAGATCTCCTCATCGTCTGTGCCCCATTGGATTGACTGTAGCTAAGGTATTGTTATATTGCACTATGATAACATATCTTCCAAAATGGTTTTGTTGAAGTTCCTTTGCTTATCACTTTGTTTGTGTCAACAACTCCATAAATTTTGCCTTTGTACGCAATTCAGAAGATTTGGGAATAAAATCACACTTCAACTATCAAATAGCAGGCTGGCCTATTTTCTTTGAAGAAATGGGATTCCATGTTAAAAAGTTATGTTTGATCCATAATTGGCTCTATCAAATTCTGTTGCCAAATTTGAGCCCTCACTGTTTAATCATGTAGTTCTGTATTTCTAATTATTGGTTATGGATATAGTTGCACATTATATTTCCATTTTTAGTTGATATCTATTAACAACTCCCATGCCGATGCCTCCCTGGTAATTCTCGTGGGTAGAAAATATTTGTTATGGCAGAACTTTATGCCCATGATAAAATTACTTGCTAGGAATTGCAGAATCTACTCTTTGCCCCTTTTCAAATAAAATTTATGCAAATTCGCCTATTGGTCGTTTTAGATTGAGGCAGTACATGGGCATACGGTCTTACTCTCTGGTGTGGATCTGGTTGATGGAACTGTAAGTTCTTTATTTTTGCATCAGTAGCTATTTTATGTAAAAGAAGTTTTCTCATTTGTTTTCTTCGTCTTATAAGTACGTTTATATGTGGCAGTATATGTAACACTAACACAACCTACTACAACTATTATTACAGCCTGTTCTGGACATCAAACCTTATTTGCCGTACTGTGACAACATTCAAAGAGCGATGGTACCTGACTGGGTGAAGGTACTTTTTGTGCTACGTTTTCGTTGAATGACTCATGATTCCCCAGAAATGTATTGACTTCATTTGTTGTAGTTTAGCTTTGAAAATCCAAGTTATGTTCTAAAATATTGAATACAAAATATCTCTTGGAGATTTTTTAAAAAAATAAAAAATAAAATAAAAGTTGTGCCTTTTGAGGTAGTCATCTTTTGTGTAACAAAGACCAACTTCTAGGTGGTTACTTGCAATTCATAAAGGGTGGAGTTTCAATTACCGATATATTCATAACTATCATGAAGCTTGAAGTTGTTGTAGAGGGAACCATATTTGAGTTGCTATATCTTTTAGTTTCTATGGAAATTTACTCTGATGATGTATCCCACCAGGAAGTTGTGACTTTTTTTGTTTTCTTTTTTTTTTTTAACAGGTGGACAATATGTTGGCTGTAGCTTCTGTCGACTTCTCTGAAAGCTTTTTTTCCAGCATAGTTGATTGTTGGCCATTGTTGGTAAGACCTCAGAACTAAATTCACTAGACTAGGGCTAGTTTTTACAGAAATGCCTAATTTCAGACAAATTTAGTTAACTTACAAAATTAATATTGCTGTTTTTCTTTTGTACTTTGGTAAGAAGATATTTTTCTTTCTTAAAGGTCTGCTTTTATTATTGTTAGTATTAATAGATTTAACCTAATGGTGTTTTTGTTATAGTTAATTGTTAAGTTGAACTGACTGAAATCTGACTGAAAAATCGTGAAACTAGCTCCTCTTCGTGTTATTTCCTGGAGTAGCTGAAACTATTTTTGTTTGAAGACGAACATTATAGTTCTTATAGACCTTTTTGTCTGAGCTAATTACAGATAGTTACTGAGGGAACAAAATTAGAAGTTCTGTATTTCCTGAAATAAATGAACAAATAAAAGAAGAAATAAAATAATAACCATCAACTCCATAATGCAACACTTAAAACCCCTCCCTCAACACTGGAATTAAATAGAAATGTTGATATTAACTTGCTTCACAACAATTTTGCTTACTTTTAAGTTGAAAAAATATTCCACATGCTCAAATTTCCTTCATTTGCTATGTGGGCTATATAACAATTATTCTTCCTAATACCTTTATCAAACAATTTCCAAATATCCTTGTTGAAAATGGTTGTTGTTGTGATGTTGAAGATGATCAAGATGTTCACAATGGCAGTTATTTCTGTTGTGTTGCGTTTCTTTTATTTCTGTTTTACGTTTTGTTTTAGTTGGCTAAGTGCTAACGGTGTCGTTTTGAGCATGTTAAACGGCACTGTTTATTCCTTTTCCTGTTTTGTCTTTTGGCATTGCTATGCTATATATATGCGAACATGACGTACATTTTGGATTTGCATCAGATGTTTTGAGCTATAAGAACACTGAAATTGATCTATAAGATGAAATTGTAAAAGCTTGCGATTCAACAATCCTCATTATCCAAATTATGAAATAAACTGGATTTATTCTTCTAAACAAATAACACGTGTGATTTTATCTTTCCGTCTTTTTCTCAGGATAAGAAGTCACTTTATGCTTCACCCCATGAATTCCAGTGCTTGATAAGGCAGGTGCTCTCATGGGACATACGGTCTGTGTCCCAAAGAACCCGTCCTCATCAGCCCACAGCAAAAGCTGAAGCCGAAACTATGAGCTATGCTGATGATGATGATACTGAGAAGATAGTAAATCGGTTGGATAACAATTCCCAAGAAGATAAAGCTTCGGAAAATAGAGTAGGTGAGCTTGTTCTCTCTCCAACGAGCGATGATGTTGTTTATCACCTTATATTGGAAGGCCTCAATGTTTCGTACAGAATTGATTCCACTTCCAATGTTCTTGTCGAGAAAGTTAGTATTGCTTGAATTGAGAACTAAAAGGAGAAAAGAACAAGAAAAAAATTCAGTGGCCTTTTTTACTTATTGAACTGCATATATTGCTTAAAGTTGGTTGCATGCTGATAAACAACTGCTCATCATAAGTTCTCACTTGCGCTATGTGGTGAGCGTATGCTATTTTGGTACCCAGAATAGTATTTAACTTTGCCTATTTGACAGAAAATGCTATTTGGATAAGTGTCTTGCTAATTTTTTTTTTTAATTATTATTATTATTTATTTGCTTTTGTTTATGTAAAATGAATAAAGCCCACTTGCCATCATTATAAATTGGTTTAATTGCTGAAAAATGAATAATCTTTTTCGTTTTTGCTAATAAAACTAAATTTGTTTTTATTTGCAATAATATAAATTATCAATTTGTTGCAAATGAATCACCGGGTTGCAAAACGGGTCTAAGGTGCTGACATGTCATTTTATGGAGTAGTTTATTTATTTAAAAAAAAAATAAGTAGACAAAAAAAAAAAAAGAGTGGACCAAAACAAAATAGCCGTATTCTCAGAATACGTTTTCTTAAAAAAAATTAATCAAGAAAACGTATTCCGAGAATACGTTTCACAAAAAAATAAAATTAATTTTAAAAAAAAAACGTTTTAAAAAAAATATGCAAATAATAATAAAAATGTATTTTTATAAAACGTAATGTGAAAATATGTTTTAAAGCAAAACGTATTATGAAAATACGTTTCAAGAGGAAATTTTTTTTTTTTTTGAAAAAAATAATATTTTTATTAAACCGTATTCTCAGAATACGCTTTACAATTAAATTGTCGGTAAACGTATTCTGAGAATACGGTTTTTACGTTTAATATAAAAAAAAAAATTCTCTTCCTCTCCTTCATTCACGCAGAAACAGCGAACAAAAACGAAGAAAAAAGAGAGGAAGAGCGATTTTTTAGCGTGAAAAAAAAAATCGATCCAACCTTCATCCCGGCGTAAACCGACAACACCGGCACGAGTCTCATTTCCAGTTAATTCATTCGCACGAGGTATATTGTCTTATCTTTACTTTTTACATTATTTGAAGTTGTTTATAAATTGAGGATTGGTATAATATGTTTGAATGTGGTGGTATTAGAAGATTGAAAATTGCTAATTGATTATGGATTATTTGTGTATGTTGAATTGAGGATTGAAATTTTGTGTGTAAATTGTCAATTGTGTATTGTTTTGTTGTTGTTGGGATTAGGGTTTTCCGAAATTAGGGTTCGAATTAGGGGTTTAAATTTATCCGAATTATAGATGAATTTTATGTTATTGTTGGATTATGAGTTTAATGGTTTTGGATGATTATTTGATTGGGGCTATTTTTTGTTATTTTTTATTTTTTGTTGGAGAGTAAAAATTGAGTTTTTTTTGAAAAAGAATTGAAAGTGTTTATTTGCAACAGGTATAAAATGGCCTATCCCGGTCCCGGTCCATATCTTGTTAATTTGTACTGACATTTTGGGAAGGAAATGTTAAACGATTTTGTTTCATTTAAAGATCGTCCGAGTGGTTCATTTATAATTCCGGGGAGGATATCATATGAACAGTTGGTACAGATGATTAATGAAAAATGTCAGTTTGAAGAAGGTTGGACAATTCAGGAGATTACTATGATGATTAGTCAACCTGATGGTTCGTGGAATCCCGCAATACTCAATAACGATAGTTTTGAATGTATTTATTACTTTCCTAGTATGTCCATGGTGTATTTGCATTTATCGTTGCAGGCAAATACACCCGTTACACAGTTTGAGGATTTTACTCCTTGTTACGGGAGAGTGTTTGATGTCGAGGGTACATCGACTTCTCATGTACCTAATTTTGGAGAAGGGACATCGAGAGAATGGGCGGCGGATGAGGACGATGAAGATTTTATTCCCGGTGAAGATGACTTCACAGACGAGACCTCAGAAACCGAATCAGATAGATCGGTTAATGAGGAGAGTGAAGCCGAGTTCATGGAAGAAGAACATCCATTTCCTATTGGTGGTCGGCACATATACCGCGAGATGGTTGAATGGGACCCGTCCAGGATAGATGTGAACGAGTATGCTATTCCACGGTGGAATGGCGACATTGAGACCATACGTTTGGGTACAGTTTTCCGGAGCAAGCGAGAAGCCCAAACGGGTCTAATCGCTTGGAACGTCGATAGGTTGCGGGAGGTTCGGTCAAAAGATTCAAATCAGAAGACATTCAAACTGGTCTGCAAATCGAATGCAGATGTAGATGTGCCTTGTCTGTGGATGGCTCGGGTGAATAAGTCCAGACGGCATGATGATTTGTGGGTCGTAACTGAATGGACTGACCAACACACTTGCATGCAACAGGTCGACAGATGCAACAGGTCGACAGAAATGACCACAGAAACGTGACTGCCCATATGATTGCGAATCTTATAATGAATAAGATTCAGAAAAAAGTGGAGTACAACGTTAACATGGTCCAGCTGATGTGAAGCAGTGTTGGAAAGTCGACGTCAGTTACAAGAAGGAATGGCACGGCAGAAAAAAAGCAATCGAGTGTGTGTACGGCAGTTGGGAGTCGAACTTCGCGGAACTCCCTCAGTAAGCAAAAATTAATTACAAATATACGTGTTTTTTGTCTGTTAGTATATTTATTTATTTATGAAATTGTTTTGTATTGTACAGATATTTTGTCGCGCTTCAAAGAGCGAATCCCAACACAGCTGTAGATTGGGAATTTCAGGGTGGTGATGTGGCCCGACACGTTCCAGACAGAGAATTTAAATATGTGTTCTAGGCGTTTGGTCCCGCGATTCGAACCTTCGAAATGTGCCCGCCGGTTATTAGCGTTGA